ACAAGGAAAAAAAAATACTAAAGTTGCAATTTTGAAGTTACAGTTTTCTATGTTTTTATAAAGGATGTAATTTAGACCTCCAAAGAGGGGTTTTCTATACAGTACAAAGCATGTACTGTATAGCCAAAAAGAAACTAGACCAGAATTTGAGATGGTTCCACCTGCATCGAAAGGAAGATTAGTTGGCAGACATGTCTTCTGCTAGAGCAATGGGTTGAATTAGAAGAACTCCAGGGTCCCTTCCAACTCTGTTATTCTGTAAAGTTCTGTGCATTACTTTCTTATCTTGCCAACTAGGTTGACAGCTCTTAGTGAAATCAGTTATTGATGGGCATTGTATCAGTGGTGGTATTCAGCCGGTTCGCAAGGGATTGGGCAAACCAGTAGCAAGAATTTGACATGGGTCACCGAATCGGTAGTAAGTTCTGGCTGGTCATGCCCCCCATCCCTCCCGCGCGATGCTTGCTCACCCCACCCACCCATCGCCTAAGACATTTCTTTGTTTTTTTCCCCTCCCAATAATCAGCTGTAGATAAGATCAGCTCACCCCTTGCTGAGGCCTAGGAAAGCAAAAAATAGAGGGAGGAGCTTAGCTCCTCCCTCCATTTTTTGCCTTCCAGAGCCCCAGAGGAGCCTTGGTGCAGCACAAACGCCCTCCCCAGAGGCTCCTGTGGCTAAGAAGCTCCCCAAAGCGGGTGGGGGCTGCAAAAAAAAAAGATCCATGCCCACCCAGTCACATGACCATGCCCATCAAGCCACGCCCACAGAACCAGTAGTAAAAGTTTTTGAATACTACCACTGCATTGTATATATGTGTACCTATAAACCAATTATTGATGGGCATTGTATATATGTGTATGAGTGGCGTTGGTGGCCACTCTCTCGCCTCATGATCAGGAGGCTGTGAGTTGAATCCTAGGTAGCAGCAGATATTTCTCTCTTTGGATGCAAAGAGAAAATATCTGCTGTGAGCTCTGCATAGGTGTCAGGAAGGGCATCTGTCCAGTAAATGCTCAGCTCCATTCAATCACCCCGACTCCACCCTGATGCAAGGGATTACATAGTCATTAAAAGAAAAATTGTATATATGTGTACAGTATAAAGGTTGACAAACATACACACATATGCATAAACTTTGTTTATTTGCTTTCCATTCAGGAATATACTGTACTTTTTTTCCACTGTTCTGAGCATTATAGGCTTATAGACCACTTCAGAGAACTAGTCTTGGCATAATGTATCTAGATACGATCACTTGAACTTAGTCATTTGTGCCTCATAGAAATAAGTGGATATCATACATTTTGTCTGAGCTTGTTGGTGTTGTGTAATAAAATCTCTCTTGTAACAAAAGGAATAAAGACTTTAGATTTCGGATCTGTGGCCTGTACTATTCCTGTAAAAGGATCTGTCAAAATAGCATTTACCCCGGGGAATGAAACTAAAAAACACTATTAACAAATCCAGATGAATTATCATGCTATTTTAGCTGCCTGAGCCAGAAAATAAGTTTTGTTTCCCAGCAGAATTTTGGGCATGTTTAATAATAGGGTCTCTTCAAGTTACAGATTGATGAACTTTCTTTTTTCTTTGATTTCATTTGAAGAAATGGAACTGAGACAATCTTGGAAGGTGGGAAAAGCTTTTCTCTCGATAAATTGAAGGTTCGTTTGTATTTAAATATAGCATAATGAGATTTCTCTCCCAGTGTTAGGTGAATAAAAAACTGGAAAAGTTATATACAGTAATCAGAACAGCAGACTATTAATATTAGGAATAAACTTCCTAATGTCTTCTAGTCTTACAATATTAAGTAAGATTTTATTATGAATTGTAACTGTTATTACATGCTGTTTTTCTTTTGTGAACCAAAATACGTAAGGCAGGGGAATGTTGCTGTGTAAAATTCAGGAATCAAGGAAGGCACTTTGTACTGGGACCCTGGAATTGAGAAGAGGGTTCTATTTAACTTTTGAAAATTCCCCTCCAAATTATTTTCCTCATTAAAAAAAAAAGGTTTGTGTGCAGAAATGTTTGTGCAATTTTTTTCTCTAAGAAGGCAGATAATTATTTTCTTTTCTTTCATTTTTTTGTAAATTTTATTTGAGTTTTCACAAAGAGAAAAAAAATTCAAATAAAACAACTTTTTTGAAAGTAGCAAAATCCCAGGTTACATTTCTTCGTACAGACACAAATTCAGGTTCATGCTCATTTTTATATTCGATTCCATATCTTATTACTATTTTACATTTTCTGCATAGCTTCTCCCCTCTTTTAATTTTCTCAATTTTATTTTAATTATCTCATCTCAATTCAAATCATTGTATTTATATTTTTTGTCTGTCCTGTTTCAATTATCTATTATCTTTTCTCATTAAACAAAATTTCTCCTGCAGTTACTGATTGGAGTATGACGCCTTTATATCTTTTCCCTAAAGTTGTAACATTCAATATAATACATAACTTCCATTGGGATTCTGCTTGGTACATTCTTAAAATACACACTGTATTCTTAAAAAAAGAAAAAAATATAAATGTATATAATTAAAACAACATTCCATTCCAATTCAATTCTATCATTAATATTAATATTCATTAAAGTCTTAACATCTTTAACATTACTTTTCAATTAAATATTATATTTCTATGGGAACAATTATAAGGTTTCCATAGTTAATTCCCCCCCTTCACTTATATTTTATAAAACATTAACTAATTAAAATGTTCCAGTTCCTTCCTAATTCAATTTTCTCATTTATTTTATTTCACTTATTTTATTCACAAACATTTTACTAAATTACACTATTTTATCCCTCATATTAATCATACGTTGTTTCCAATTTTCTAAAGTTATTTCTATTACTAATATAACAATACAATCTTATGTACCTTTACAGAATCCCCTTTTCAGTTAGATTTTCACCCATTATCTCTAAATAGGTCCTGTTACTCTATATCTTGCTCCAGTCCTTTGTAACTTCTTTTCCTTTCCTTTTTCCCTCTCTTCTTCTCTCTCCCCTTTTTACCCGCTTGTCTCTCTACCTCTATTTCTGTTCTGTATTCCCCTTTTCTGTTGCTTTCCAGTATTATACTTATTTTTTGAATTATTTTTCTTTTCTTTGGTTGTTTTTTTAAGTCTTAAATTCTCCATTCTCTTTTCCCCCCTTTCCTTTTTCTTCCCCACATAAAATTGCTTGTTCATTAAAGATGGCTTCTTCTTTGTCCCAGTCTTCTTGTTTTGCAGTCATTTCTTGTTGTTTCTCATAGTTCCAAATCTCCACTTCTAAGAATTGAAAAACAAAGCCAAAAGAACCCTTCCCTTCTTGTGCATCTTCTTTGTACTTTTTAAGTTCCATTTTCAGTTCATCCAGAAGTGGTGCCATTGTATAAATTTTTAAACAACCACCCAATTTATTTTAGTCATTCAAATATAATAACCAAGAATCCAAAGATCACCAAATAATCCAAATACATGCAAGCTGTTTCTTTTTTGCTCTAGGGTTACTGTTTAGTTGCAAAGTTTCAGTTAAAATGTATCTTTTAGAAGTCTTGTTGAAGTTTTACTATAGATTCTTTTTAATTCCAGGCAGTCTCCTCCCTCTTCCAGATCCTGCCCTTATTCTTTTTCTCTCCCTTCCTGCTTATGAAAAAGAAAATTTTTAATGTCCAGAAATCTTTATTATCCCTTTGGCATTTTGTTTTATTTTCAGCTTAATTGCCTATTGATGTCAAAGCAGATTTTTCCGATTTCTTATTTAAGTCTCTTAGTTGTCAGTATAGGGAAGTAGAGAGAAGAAGAAAAAAGCCAAACCTTTCCCTTTTCACTTTCCTTCGCTGCTTCTGACTCTTCTTTGGGAGCGATGTTATTTTTTGTAAGTTTAAATTCCAGGGTACTGTAGTTGTTGCTGTTACAATTTAACCCAGTCAGCCAAAACTTTCACTTCTTATCTTCCTCCTGCATATTTTTTTCCAGTCGAGTTCTTCTTTGTGGTGGCCATTTCTGACTACCGCTGCAACCGCCTTTGGGAAAGGGAGTAATGGCCAGCTGGGGAAGAGAGATGCGGCTCTCCTCAACCCTGCTGGCGGTCTCCCCCCTCTTCACCACTTCTATGGGGTGGCTTAGCCCCGAAACCAGCCGGCTCGGGGCGCTCCAGCGGTGAGCCCAGACAGAAACCGCGCACGATCACAGATTTCTGGCTGTCACCAAAGCCCTTCAAACCAGAAGTCGGCAAATAATTATTTTCAATGATTGATTTCATTAGGAAAAAAAACAATGCAAGGTAAGAGTATACTTAAATTTCACAGTCCTACCAACCAACTGATAAATGATTAGCACAGTCCTTCTGTGGTACTTCTTAAAATGGATTGGATTTAAATTTCTTACAATTACTTGAAATAACCAAGTTGAAGCCCGATATACAAAAAGAAAAAAGCTGTAGGAAGGCTTGATAAACCTTCTTCTCAAAAAAGCTTGATAGATCTTGGGTTTTATTTTTCATAATGCTGATTCAAAGTTCATTTATTTATTTATTTCCAGGTGCTGAAACTAAATTTAAGAAGGGGGAAAAAAAGAGTTGTCAGATTAGGGATTCCCTTGTCACCCCGTGTCAAAGTTAAGTGACTGGTGGGGAATGAAAGAATTTACATTCTTTGCAGTTATCTCGTCATAGCACTCTGAGAGTCATGGAGGCCACGTAGAGGTTTACCTGCATCCTTAGAATCACCTAAGTGCAAATGGATGTGGAACCTTTTTGTAAACAGGAAATAGATGGTGCTGTATCTCTCCCCATGTGTTGAGGGAGGACTATTCAATTTTAACAAAGGTGGCCTCTTTGACTCCTCTTTCAAAGGAAAAAAACCAAGGCAGTCCAGTTGTCTTTTAGTCTAGTTGTCCCATGACCTGGATGATTGAGAATCTCCATAGATAACAATCCTTACACTTCCACATAGCTCCTCCTGCTCCCCCAATGCATTTCAATTTTGAGAAACAGCTAACTTACCATCAGTTCGAAGTGTTAATGGAGTTGGAGGACTAAGGACCCTGGCATTTGTCACTGTGTTCTTCACGAGGCAGATATAACTGCCAACGTCTGATGGTTGCACTTTGGATATATAGAGGTTGCCTGTTTCCTGGGAGATGAAACGCCTGCTGTCTTCTGCCACAAAGGAGGGGAATGCATTAAATACCCAGCTGTAGATGATCTCTGTAAAATAAAGAGGGAGATACTTTGAATCTCTTTGTGGCAAGACCACTGCAATCAAGAGAGAGCAAATTGGACATGTTTAAAAAAGGGAACATATCTAACTTCAGTACTTTTCTCCATGGAGCATGCCAACTCATAAAATATTTCTATGGTCTTTTTAGTTTAGTTTACTTTATTATTTACTTTACTGTCATTGCACCTCGTACAATGAAATCAAACGCCATCTTCAGTGCACATCATGACCATTACAATAAACACAAACACGCACCCTTCACACATTGAACAGGAAACCCCCAATACCGCACCAACACTGCACTATACAGCAGAATTCAAAAGAGCTACTGCCCTGGAATAGAAGCTGTTTTTCAGCCATTTTTTTCAGTTATTTTTAGAGTTGACAACCAAAAGGGAGGCGGAAAAGGGGTTTTTGAAAGAGAAGTGTGGCAGCTTGGAAGCTGAAAGTGCATTTCATAAATCGTTTTCAAAGATGCCTGAAGTTTCTGCATGCAAAATTCTAACCAGAGAACATGACTGATGATTCTTGGCTATGCATATGTCTCACTGGAGAATATGAATTATGATACACCCAGGGGTGGGGGGAAGCCAGGGTCAAGGATGACAATGAATTATGTGTCTCAGAGTTGGCTAAACCCAGGCAGTCCCAGACATGTTAACTCTCAATAAATCCTTTTGAAGTTTTGGAAGTTTGGCTCGAGACTCATGATTTAATTGGGGTAACTGCCGGAATCCTGACAATGCAAGGCAGATGTTCAATGATTATGGGAAAGCCTTTTGTTTTTACAAAGACTTTTTTTTATTTATCATTATTATTTTTAATGAATTTGGAAAATATGCATGCTTAGCTATGAATAAATATTTTCAGCACATGTAGATATAAAGGATTTTTACGCCGAATAAGATCTCCAGCTGATTCCAGTGTTCTACAATCTGACTTACTCTTGGTGTGAGGAATCAAAAGTTGATGATTAAAGATTAGTTATGGAGAAATTTATTACTAATCACTGAGCTATGCTGAACAGGAAGCAATAAAATATGCCAAATGCTTAAGAGGGAATTAGTATTAACATTGCATGGACTTTTGCTGAGCAGCACTCGGAAATACAATATATTATACCATATGTTAAATGCCATATGAAACCACCATATTTAATTTTACCTCCCGGAGATGACAGAAAAGCAAAACACATCTCATATTTCCAGAATTTAAAGAAGGACTGAGCAATTTGCAGTCCTCCGCCCCTCTGAGATTATGTTATCAAGACTGAGAGGTGCAATTTCTCTCCCTCATCCTTATTTATTCACAACAATTAAGGTAGGAATAAAAATGTGAGACTTCTAAGAGGCAATTCCTTTATTCTTACTACCACCACTCCCCACCCCACCTAATATTGTTCTAAAATATTGTTTTGGAAATTCAGTTATTTTTCCATCAGAAACTGGCAGTGGAAACTTGGACAGTCGCGGTAAAAGGTATGGAATAAGTTTACCTCCCATTTATAACTTTTAAAACCTCTCCCAAAAACTAGGGACAAGTGGCCTCAAAAATTTCTCCTCCTATCATTGTGACTGTCTGCAACCCATCAAAAGTCAAGAGGCTGAACTAATAATATACCTTTTACTTCCAATACTCAAAAAAATGGGAATAAAGCACGTAGTCGTGCACATTTACTCTTCATCTTGATGATAATGGTTCATTCAGTTAATTCAGCTTTCTGACTGTGCCCAATAACTAACTGGGCTCAGCTAAGTTTGCCCAATATATTGGGCCAAAATAGGTTGGCTGGCGATCAGAGACTTGTGTAAAGAAAGATATAACTCATAAAAGCAGAGGAAAGTAGTGCTGTTGTTTGAAATAAGTAACCTAAGCACTTTTTCCCAACCTCAGCAAGTTTAAGATGGGTGACTTCAACTCCCAGAATTCCCCAGCCAGCTGTCCTCCCATTTTATACTTGCTGTAGTTGAGAAACATTGGAAAGGATGTCTAAAAAAACCTCTTTGAACATAGGCAACCATAATAAATCTCAGTGATAGCAAGATGAGGACAAATACCTCATACAATCATACAAATATTATAACTATGTACTGTAGTAAGATGATCACAAGCTTTTAAAAATATTTTTATTTATACCTTTTACTTTAACATATACAATTATTTAATAGACAGTGTATTGTCTGGGTCATTTTACATATACATAATTGTAGTAATAATAATATTCTAACTTGTATAGAATAGTATTCTTCCAACTTCTAATTTCTACTTTTATTATCTAATCATTGGTAAAACAAATCGCAAGTTAAAAAATATTCTGTGTCTTCTTTATCCTTCATCTTTAATGTTAACTTATCCATTTCTGCACAATCTAATATTTTTTTATTATATTTTCATCTGAAGGAGTTTCCTCATTTTTCCAATGTTGTGCAAATACAATTCTCGCTGCTGTCAAAAGATGTAGTATTAAATATACATTCCCTTTATTATATATTTCTGGCAAAATACCTAGCAAAAATATTTCTGGGTTTAAATCTATATGTTGCTTTATCATTTTCTCTAACCATGTATGTATTTTCGTCCTTTTTTTTGTCTTTGGGCAAGTCAACCACATATGGTAGTATGAACTCGGCATCTGGTTACATTTCCAACATTTGGCAGACATGTTTTAAAACATCTTTGCTAGTCTTGCTGGTGGCAAATGCCACCTGCAGAACATTTTATACAGGTTTTCCTTGTTCGTAGTTACCATTATCAAATTATAGTTTCTATCTCAAAGTTTTTGCCATTTATCTAATTTTATAGCATGTCCCAAGGGACGCAGTGGCTCAGTGGTTAAGACAATCGATTGAAAGGTTGGCAGTTCAGTGGTTCGAATCCCTAGTGCCACGTAGTTGCGTGAGCCAGTGGTGGGATTCAATTCTTTTACTACTGGTTCTGTGGGTGTGGCTTGGTGGGCGTGGCAGGGGAAGGATACTGTAAAATCTCCAGTCAGAGGTGGTATTTGCCGGTTCTCCAAAGTACTCAAAATTTCCACTACCGATTCTCCAGAACCTGGAGAACCTGCTGAATACCACCTCTGGGGTGAGCTCCTGTTATTTGTCCCAGCTTCTGCCAACCCAGCAGTTCGAAAGCACATAAAAAATGCAAGTAGAAAAATAGGGATCACCTTTGGTGGAAAGGTAACAACATTCCATGCGCCTTTGGCATTTAGTCATGCCAGCCACATGAACACAAAGACGTCTTCGGACAGCACTGGCTCTTTGGCTTTGAAACAGAGATGAGCACCTCCCCCTAGAGTCGGGAATGAGTAGCACATATGTGTGAAGGGAAACTTCACCTTTATAGTATATCCCCAAAAAATTGCCCATCATTGTTTCTTTCACTTGTTCGTCTTCCATTTTGAGGCTTAATAAATAGCTATATATTTTTGTGGATCCATGGGGAGTGATTCCTCTCTCTCTTTCTTTCTCTTTGTGTGTGTGTGTGTGTGTGTCAGTGTGTTTATCAGCACAGTATAACAATTTTTAATTCTAACTTTATTTTCTGACAAATACCAAGCTGAGATTTATTTACAACTAGTTAAAATCAATTCCTCCCAAACAAGTTCCCGTCTCTTTCAATTCTACCTTTAACTAGAAGTTTGAATCTGGCTAAGCATTTTGTATAATTACCTATTGCAACTTGGAGTGTCGAGTAAATATAAAAGAGAGCTATTGATTGATTAATTATGTGCCATCAAATCCTTTTTGTCTCTCGGTGATCGCATAGATAGATCATTGTACTGGCTAGGTGACCTTCTGTCTCTGGCATTTTCTTTCCACATCTGATTTTTTCTCTCTTTTTTTTAGCATTCCCCTCAAAGTCAACTGGGAGAGCTAGAATTGTTCTTTTTGTTTTCCTGTCCAATTTCTTTTTTTTCATTTTTCTTTGTAAATATTACTTATGGTCTTCCTCAGCTTTTTCCTCATACCCATACATTCAGCATCTAATACTGCCTAGCATCATTTTCACTTGGCAGTCATTAATCCATTTCTCCTGTTCTATCTCCCAGAAGACTTTAAAAGAATAACAGATATGGAAGGGACCTTGGAGGTCTTCTAGTCCAACCCCTGCTTAGGCAGGAGATCTATACCATTTCAGACAAATGGCTGTCTAGTATCTTCTTAAAAACCTCCAATGTTGGAGTATCCTCAACTTCTGGAGGCAACCGGTTCCAATGAATTCTAATTGTCAGGAAATTTATCCTTAGTTCTAGGTTGTATCTCTCCTTGATTACTTTCTATCCATTGTTTCTTGTCCTGCCTTCAGGTGCTTTGGAGAATAGCTGGACTCCATCTTCTTTGCGGCAGCCCTTAGATATTAGAACACTGCTATCATGTCACCCCCAGTCTCTTCTCTTAATTAAACTCGATATCCCCAGTTCCTGCACTTTCTCCTCTACCTTCTCACAGGGAAAGAAATGAAACCCATGCACTCTCTCTCCTGCATTCAAGGTGATATGAGCTAAACAGCCTAAATGTATCCATGCCAGGATGCTAGAGATCTGTAGGTGATGGCAGGCTGTCGCAAACGAAATGATCGAATGATATCATTGTAAATGTAAATACGGAACTTCTTATCTTTTGTAGTGGACATAGGATAAAGCAAAGAAATATTGGAGTAGGATCCATATAAAGTGAACATAAAGATAAAACCACAGATTTTTCTTTTAGGTCTAATGGATAAAGGAAAAAAAATGGAACTTTAATGTTATTCATGCTGACGACAGCAAGATTACTTTATGCACAAAAATGAAAGGACACTGTGATTCCCACAATGGATGAATGGCTGCAAAAGTTGATAGAATTAGCAGAGATGACTAAACTGCCTTCTTTGATTAAATAAAAATTATTAAATTAATAATTATTAAATTATTAAAAATGATTACAGTTTCTACTTGGAAACTGCTTTTGGACTTTGTGCTTGAGGTGGAAAACAACGAAACTTT